TGTCCGTTACGCGAGTGCACTGTGTCAAGGAGTCGCCATCTATCGACAGCTGAACGAGGAGGGGGAGGAAGAGAGGTGGAAGGTCACTACGATATGTGCGGAAGCCGTCTGGAAGAAGATCAAGGTGGTGCCCCCCAGCGTGGAGATAGTCGTGCGTAGGCTTCGACACTATCAAGCTCTGGTACGTAACCCGCGCCGCCGCGTCCAGGAACTCGCTGCAGTCTTTGGGAAGGTTGCGTTTGAGAACACGGCGCCTCAACAGTTCTCATGGGCCCCAACGTGTGCTCCTACGGCGGCCCCGACGGACAAAATTACGCTACCGAGGAACCCCGCATACTTAATTTAAACCTTTTGTGTTTGCTTATGTATATATATATATATATATATATATATATATATATATATGCACAATCCTGCGTTCTGGGCCCTCGTCGCGAATGTTCCCTGCTAGGCTTTGCGCCAGTGTCGTGGATAGCGGCCGAGCTGAGAGACCACCCCCTGCGCACCCCCTGTGGTGTCGAGAAAGTGCCACGCCTGCTAGCCTTTGCGCCAGTGTCGTGGATAGCGGCCGGCTGAGAGACCACCCCCTGCGCACCCCCTGTGGTGTCGAGAAAGTGCCACGCCTGCTAGCCTTTGCGCCAGTGTCGTGGATAGCGGCCGAGCTGAGAGACCACCCCCTGCGCACCCCCTGTGGTGACGAGAAAGTGCCACGCCTGCTAGCCCTTGCGCCAGTGTCGTGGATAGCGGCCGAGCTGAGAGACCACCCCCTGCGCACCCCCTGCGCACCTCGTGTGGTGTCGAGAAAGTGCCACGCCTGCTAGGCTTTGCGCCAGTGTCGTGGATAGCGGCCGAGCTGAGAGACCACCCCCTGCGCACCCCCTGTGGTGTCGAGAAAGTGCCACGCCTGCTAGGCTTTGCGCCAGTGTCGTGGATAGCGGCCGAGCTGAGAGACCACCCCCTGCGCACCCCCTGTGGTGTCGAGAAAGTGCCACGCCTGCTAGGCTTTGCGCCAGTGTCGTGGATAGCGGCCGAGCTAGAGAGCGCCACGCCTGCTGCCCGCCCTAGCGGCCGACTGAGAGACCACCCCCTGTGGTGTCGAGAAAGTGCCACGCCTGCTAGGCTTTGCGCCAGTGTCGTGGATAGCGGCCGAGCTGAGAGACCACCCCCTGCGCACCCCCTGTGGTGTCGAGAAAGTGCCACGCCTGCTAGGCTTTGCGCCAGTGTCGTGGATAGCGGCCGAGCTGAGAGACCACCCCCTGCGCACCCCCTGTGGTGTCGAGAAAGTGCCACGCCTGCTAGGCTTTGCGCCAGTGTCGTGGATAGCGGCCGAGCTGAGAGACCACCCCCTGCGCACCCCGTGTGGTGTCGAGAAAGTGCCACGCCTGCTAGGCTTTGCGCCAGTGTCGTGGATAGCGGCCGAGCTGAGAGACCACCCCCTGCGCACCCCCTGTGGTGTCGAGAAAGTGCCACGCCTGCTAGGCTTTGCGACAGTGTCGTGGATAGCGACCGAGCTGAGAGACCACCCCCTGCGCACCCCCTGTGGTGTCGAGAAAGTGCCACGCTGCTAGGCTTTGCGCCAGTGTCGTGGATAGCGGCCGAGCTGAGAGACCACCCCCTGCGCACCCCCTGTGGTGTCGAGAAACAAAGTGCCGTCGGCTAGCCTTGCCACGCCTGCGCCAGTGTCGTGGATAGCGGCCGAGCTGAGAGACCACCCCCTGCGCACCCCCTGTGGTGTCGAGAAAGTGCCACGCCTGCTAGGCTTTGCGCCAGTGTCGTGGATAGCGACCGAGCTGAGAGACCACCCCCTGCGCACCTCCGGTGGTGTCGAGAAAGTGCCACGCTGCTAGGCTTTGCGCCAGTGTCGTGGATAGCGGCCGAGCTGAGAGACCACCCCCTGCGCACCCCCTGTGGTGTCGAGAGAGTGCCACGCCTGCTAGGCTTTGCGCCAGTGTCGTGGATAGCGGCCGAGCTGAGAGACCACCCCCTGCGCACCCCCTGTGGTGTCGAGAAAGTGCCACGCCTGCTAGCCTTTGCGACCAGTGTCGTGGATAGCGACCGCGGTGAGAGACCACCCCCTGCGCACCCCCTGTGGTGTCGAGAAAGTGCCACGCCTGCTAGGCTTTGCGCCAGTGTCGTGGGTAGCGGCCGAGCTGAGAGACCACCCCCTGCGCACCCCCTGTGGTGTCGAGAGAGTGCCACGCCTGCCAGGCTTTGCGCCAGTGTCGTGGATAGCGGCCGAGCTGAGAGACCACCCCCTGCCCACCCCCTGTGGTGACGAGAAAGTGCCACGCCTGCTAGGCTTTGCGCCAATGTCGTGGATAGCGGCCGAGCTGAGAGACCAACCCCTGCGCACCCCCTGTGGTGTCGAGAAAGTGCCACGAGCTGTGCTGTGCTGTGCTGAGCTGAGCCGTGCTGGGCTGTGCTGAGCTGTGCTGAGCTGTGCTGTGTGTTGAGCTGGGCTGAGCTGCGTGCTGTGCTGAGCTGTGCTGTGCTGTGATGTGCTGTGCTGTGCTGTGCTGAGCTGTGCTGTGCGAAGAGTGAGGTGTGCGTCGCGGGTGCGGCGCGGCAGGGAAGAAAACCAGAACCCCACGAAGCATGTGGGGAACCAGACCCTGGGTCCTGCAGTTGAAGAATGACTGGTTCTTCCTGGGGAGGCTCGACGACGGGCCCGAGTTTCTGGACGACGTAGGCTGCGACTTCTTGAGGGTCTTCCAGCCCCCCGAGCTGAAGGCCAAGTTTCTGAAGTTCAACCCGAAGCGTTTGAGGGAGCTCTGGTTAGAGGCCCCGACGGTGGCCCCCATCAGGCAATACGAGGACTAGGGGTGCCCCGAGGGAGGGTATCTTGTTCTGTTATCAATGGAGACGGTCTGGAGTGCGGGAAGAGGTTTAGCACGCACTACGGGCACATCAAACACACAGTGGATGGGGAGAGCACGGGCAGCTGAACACGTTCACCAAATACACGATTACCAATCAATGTCCGTCGTGTGCCTCAACGCTTGCGTGCCGTAGAACTGCGATAAATCACATCACAGCTGCGTGCCGTCATGGCAGATGTATGGCACAGCAGTCCACGCTCAACTATGCTGTTGTCATCCCGCAGCAGTTCGGCGCACTAGAAGATTTACAACGACACATCTCTTCAGCACAACTTCCACAGCCGACTCCGAATGTCGCGGTCGCAGGCGCTGTCCGCAGCAGAGGAGGGCCCCGCGCCCGCCCAGGAGCAACGTCGCAGAGGACAGCGAGGCTCTTCGGCACAGGTGGCAAACGGAGGCGGCGGGAGCCAGGGACTGAAGAAGAAGGGCCCGAAGATCGTGGACCTCAGCGAACTCGACAGCGAGACGTGCGACGTCAAGCAGATGCAGAAGTTTGTCCCAGTCATGCTGCGCCTCATCTTCAACCTGGCCATGAGGCAGAGGCAGATCGAGTCCATCGGGCTGAAAACGTTCCTGATGTCCCCAGGCGTGGAGGTGGCAGTGGAGGCGAGGGCTTGCGTCAGAGCGTGGACCACGGCGTTTGAGGAGGCGAGGGCGGCGCTGTCCAAGGAAGACGCCGAGAAGAAGATCAGGGAGATGGGCGCGATCTCGGTGGCGTGCTACGCGGGGGTGTTCGAGGGTTTTGTGGCCGAGGGCAACGCAGTGGGCCGCGCCAACCAGCAGCAGCTGGACGAATTGAGCAAGCAGCTGAACCAGCTCGCGCTTGTGGAGATGGGCGAGGCCGTGCCGCTCGCCAAGATCAACGACGCTCACGAGGAGGGGAAGGTCAAGCTGGTGCTGAGCTTCACGTCGAGGCTCAACTTCACGCCTGTGCTCGCGTCGCTCGTGCAGGCGGGCGCGGAGTGCAAGCAGGGAGCCGCCCCCATGGGGCACCTCGAGCGCTTGCTGCGCACAGGATTGCAGGAGTTCGAGAGCATGCTGCAGGAGTAGACAGGGTCTACGACCGCCACCGCCCCCGCGAGGAGCCTGGGCGCAGGAGCCTGGACACACCAGAAGAAACAACACGACGGGTAGAACAGCTGGTGAGAAGCCTGAGCCACGCCGCTAGCAAGCCGATTTCTCCCCCCCGCGAGCCTCTTCCTCCATGTCTTGATCCTCTCTCGACCTCGACCTCGCTCCCGCCTAATACTCGAGTGCGAACGCACGCGTCTGGCTTCGAGGGCCTGGCGGTAGGAGGAGTGCCCAGCGTCCGCTGTCCCTCGAGCGCTGATTTGGGGTGCGGTAAACGCGCGAAGATTTCTGCTGCTTCGACGGGCCTGGCTAAACATCCTGGCCCCGAGGAACCCACTATGCCAGTAGTGATCAGGCGTGGCAATCCTGCCGCGCAGGGGTTTTCTGTACAGTGGAGCAGCCTCGATATGCTTGCTGCGCCGCGTTTGCTTCAGGGGGCACCGCGGCAACAGTAGGGCTTTTCTTCGTTGCGAGCCGCGGGGTGCACGGTCGCGCATCGCAAACTGACGCTCGGGTGCAGCCCAATCCTAGGGGCAGAAGCTGGACGGGATATCTTGCTCGCCCCCCATGGGTTCTGATCTGATCTGATCATCATCATCATCATCACCATCATCATCATCGCCATTCTTCCGATCATCGTCATCATCATCTTCATCGTCATCATCCTCATCACCATCATTCCCACCATCACCATCACCATCACCATCACCATCATCATCACCATCACCATCATCATGATGATGATCATCATCATCATCATCATTATCACCATCACCATCGTCACCACCAACATCAGTATCTCCAGCATGAGTCGTGCTCACTCGCAGCACCAAGGCTGCCATTCCCGTTGCCATCATCTTCGCCTTCACCATCATCACCATCATCACCACCGCCATCATCACACATATCATCACCATCACACCCATCATCGTCATCATTGTCATCACCGTCATCATCCTTGTCGTTACCATTCGTATCATCATCAATATCATCGGTATCATCATCATCGTAAAATGTCTCCTCCTCCCTCCTCCCCGACCTTCGTCGGAGGAAATCAGCGAGCAGGAGGCCTGCATGCAGCTGCCTTGGGCCGTTTTGGTGCGCCGCTGCCGCCCCCGGCGCCCTCCCGCCGCGGCGTCTGTTTTCGTCGTAATCGTCGTCGTCGTCGTCCCGTCGTCCCGTCGTCCGTCGTCCGTCGTCCGTCGTCCGTCGTCCGTCGTCTTCGTCGTCTTCGTCGTCGTCGTCGTCGTTGTTGTCGTCCTCGTCGTCGTCGTCGTCATCGTTTCCGTCGTCGTCGTCGTCGTCGTCGTCGTCGTCGTCCTCATCGTTGTCGTGTTCGTCTGGGCGGAGGGGAGGAGGAGGCGTGGGAGGTTGTTGGGTAACGCTCAGGTTTCTCTTGTCGAGAAAGGGCAGGAGGATCTCCAGTATGACGTGGGCGGGAGGGGGGGGGGCGTCTAGCTTGAGGCATTCTCGCAAATAGGGGATGTCGGAGGAGTAGTTTGACGACAGTCGTTATGACAGACGAGACTCCCGCACAAGAAAGTCTCACAACCACGGGATGGTGGTGAAACATGTGCGCTCCGACGTCGTTAATAAAAATTTGGCTCTCGCTGCAGACATCCTCAGAACATCGAGATGCCCAGTGAGATTGCGAATTCGACGTATCCTCAAGAAGGGGCTCTCGCCAGAGGCAGCCCAAGGCAATCACATGTTGAAGTCTAATTGTTATGAACTGTTATCAAAGTTGCAGCTTTGTTCCAGACTTCACAAGAAAGTTGCAATGCCCAAGTAGTTCGCAATGTCCAGATAGCCAGAGATATCCTCAACACATGGTCGACAGAAGTGATTTTCCAATCTATTCGAGAGGCTTACGCCATTCCGCCGACCCCCCAGAAGAGGCGGGGAGTCCACGATTGAGGCGTCGCGGGATTCTTGGCAAGTATCCGGGGACTCTTGTGGGCGTCTTGGGAGCTGTTTGGGGGCCTGGTGGAGCTGTTTGGGAGGCAGATCAATGTTGGGGGTTCTCTTGGAGGGGTCCCCAGACGGCCTAGGAGGCAACGTACGTGTGCAGGCGCCAAGGCGGACAGGCCGCCCGCGACCTGGCCCCAGGCGGGCGGCCCTCGCCCCGAGGTGGAAGAACATTGAGGAATCCTGGTGACGATGATGATGATGATGACGATGATGATGATGATGATGCTGTTGCTGATGGTCATGATGATGATGCTGATGATGATGATGCTGATGATGGTGGTGATGCTTCTGCTGCTTATACTGATGACGATGATGAGGCTGGCAATGATGATACTTATGATGATGATGATGATGATGATGGTGGTGGTGGTGATGATGATTAATAACATGTTGATGATGCTGATGATTATGATTCTGATGATGATGATGATGATGATGACGATGACGATGATGATGATGATGATGATGATGATGATTATGATGATGATGATGATTACGATTATGGTGATCATGATGCTGATGCTGACAATGATAATGATATGATGAAACTGATGATGCTGGTGATGATGATGCTGATGATGCTGATGATGACGATGCTGATGATAGTGATGGTGATGGTGATGATGATGATGATGCTTATGGTGGTGATGATGATGATGATGATGATGATGATGATGATGATCATGATCATGATGCTGATGCTGATGCTGCTGCTGATGATGATGATGCTGCTTCTGATGCTGATCCTGATGCTGCTACTGCTGATAATAATGATGCTGATCATGATGCTGATGATGCTTATGATGATGCTGATCATCGAGATGCTGATGATGATGAAGCTGATGATGCTGATCATGATCATGCTGAGTATGATGATGCTGCTGATGATGATGATGATGATGATGATGATGATGATGATGACGATGATGATGGCGACGATGATGATGATGATGATGATGATGATGCTTCTGATGCTTCTGATGATGATGATGATGATGATGATGATGATGATGATGATGATGATGATGATGATGAGTTGTCTCAAGGTTGGTTCAGTGTGAGGGAGGCAATGGAGGCTTTTGTCCGAGGCGAGCCCGCGGCAGCCATGGCTGCTCGCGGCATGCCCGCGACTGGAGCAGAGGACACAGCGGTCGAGACAGCAACGGCATCTTGCAGAAGACGCACAGAGGAATCGGTGGATGACCGCCTGAAAAGGGTTTAGACATGCTGTTCTCTACACGAGAGGGTTGATAAAATGGAGGCCGCTTTTGAAAGCATGAAGACGACGAATGCCTGTCCGTCTCCTCAGGAATTACACCAAGCGGGCATTTCGCAGTGTATTGTCGATGAGGATGGCATGGTTGAGCTCGACGCCCGCGTAGAGAGGATTGAAGCACTATTCTTTCATGCTTCCTTTGACAGCTTCGACGCCTTGGATGCGAGGTTGCTGGACATTTCAATCCCAGATCGGGTGCCCGAAAGGCAATCGCCAGTGAAGCGGAAGGAGCACGATAATGCGCATCTCACCCAGATCAGACATGGAAAGGAGTCCATAACAAGAACGTAACCCACAACAGCTACAACAAGACCGGGACTTTGACGCGGCGCTCGACGAGGCCACCGAGACCAACGCCGATGAGGTCAACTGCATGGATGCCGCCAGCGAAGCCGTCAGGGACTCGCCAAGCGAAAGGACGGAACCAGGAGACGATCACATGGAGACGGACCAGAGGAACGAGAAAAACGACGCGGAGAAGACGGACGACGACTACGACTTTGAGCCCAAAGCGCTGGAGAATATGAACGCGCAGCGCGAAAAACTACTCCAGCGAGTTCGCCAGCATAGGGAAGGTAGGCCTCGAGATCCCCAGTTTGCAGAACGCGTGCGCGAAACCCGCCGGCGCAGGGAAGGCGGGCTTCATGACCCCCCATTGCCGGACGAGTTCGCGGAGCTCGCCATCGTCGAGAGCAGCTTTGGTAGATGATATATGCGTGCATGGGGAGATGGTCTTGGGAAACGCAGCCAGGACAGATGACTGGGTCGACGTGGCCACAACGCCATTATGTAATGAGTTCTGGGCGCTCCGACCCCGCCCTGCTGTGTCCCCTCGCGTGGACGCTCTTGCGGGCACCGATGATGATGGTGATGATGATGATGATGGTGATGATGATGCTGATGATGATAATGATGGTGATGATGATAATAATGGTGCTGATGATGAGAGAAAGAGGAGGAGGAGGAAGAGATAGAGGAGGATGAGGAGGAGGAGGAGAAGGAGGAGGAGGAGGAGGAGGAGGGAAAGGAGGAGGAAGAGGAGAAGGAGAGAGGAAGGAGAAGAGGAGGAGGAGGAGGAGGAGGGAGAGGAGGGGGAGGAGGATGAGGAGAGGAGGAGAGGAGGAGGAGGAGGGAGAGGAGGTGGAGAGGAGGAGAGGAGGAGGGGAGAGGAAGGAGGGAGGAAGGAGGAGGAGGAGGAGGAGGCGGAGAGGAGGAGGCTGAGGAGGAGGAGGAGGCGATAGATGATGAATGATGAAGATGGATGATGATGATGATGATGATGATGATGATGATGAATGATGATGCTGATGCTGATGCTGATGCTGATGCTGATGATGATGCTGCTGATGATGTTGTTGATGACGATGATGATGATGATGATGATGATGCTGATGCTGATGCTGATGATGATGATGATGCTGCTGATGATGTTGCTGATGAAGAAGATGATGCTGATGATGATGATGATGATGATGATGATGATGATGATGAGGAGGAGGAGGAGGAGGAGGAGGAGGAGGAGGAGGAGGCGGAGGAGGACGAGGACGAGGAGGAGGAGGAAGAAGAAGAATAATAATGATAATAATATTAATACGAATACCAAGAAGAATAATACGAATAATACTATTAATAAGAAAAGATGATAAGAAGAATCATACGAAGAGTCCAATAATAATACTAATTCGAATACTAAGAAGAATAATAAGAATAAATACTAAGAGTCATAGTACTAATAAAAAGAAGAATAATACGAATAGTATTACTAATAATAAGAAACATACTAATACTAATAGTAGTAGTAATAATACTACGAATAATATGAATAAGAATAATACTATTAATACTTAGAAGAACAATCAGAATACTAATAAGAAGAATAGCAATAATAATGATACTAATAACAATAAGAAGAAAACTACGACACACACAAATAAAAAATATGAATAATAATAATCATACTAATAATAATCATAATAATACTAAGAAGAAGAGGCGGAGGAGGAGGCGGTGGAGGCGGAGGAGGATGCGGAGGAGGAGGAGGAGGATGAAGAGGAGCAGGAGGAGGAGGCGGAGGAGGAGTAGGGGGAGGAGGAGGGAGAGGAGGAGGAGGAGGAGGAGGAATTCAACTAATAATACGAATAACACTACTACTTAGCATAATCATAAGAACAGTGCTAATAATATGAAGAAGACGAAAACGAACATGACTACGAATACTAATAAGAACACTTTCAATGATAAGACGAATAAGGAGAATACGAACGCGAATGCGAAGACGACGACTACGACGAATAACAGGAATAATAAGAACACTATTCATACTACTTAGAATAATAAGACGAATAATAATTTCATGAGGGCTAAGAAGGATACTAACAATCATACTAAGACTTGTAAGACTAATCATCATAATAAGCATAATGCGAATACTAAGAATCATAACCATACTACTAATATTAAGAGCACGAATCGTACTATTCATACTATTAATACTAGTACTATTAATGATGAAAAGAAGAAACATACAATCCATACGACGAAGCGTAATACTAAGAAGACTGATACTGATAATACTAACAAGAATAATAACAGTCATGTGACACACGGCTCACAATACTAGTACTAATAGTAATAATATGTCATGACTACGGCTCATGTGGCAACCGGCTCATAATAGTCATGCGAAACACGGCTCATAACTAATACTAATAATAATAACAAGGCTCATAATATTAGTAAGACGAAGAAGAACACTACTAATCAGACTACGAAGAATAATCACACATAATGGTACGACTAATAATAATGATACGAATGATAAGACTACTAATAATATACTAGGCATGCAACG